TTTGTAGGAACTAAACCCCCCCACCCCCACCCCCCCAAACGCCCTTCCTTCTCGCTGTCTTGCAGAGGTTCAGTTTCGCCCGTACCGGACCGACGACTTCATCACCCGCCTTTACTACGAGACGCCCAGGTTCACGGTGCTGAACCAGACGTGGGTCTTGAAGGCCCGGGTGAACGACTCGGAGCGCAACCCGAACCTCTCCTGCAAGCGCACCCTCTCCTTCCAGCTCATCTTGAAGAGCAAGGTCAGCTCGCCCATGGAGTGCTCCTTCCTGCTGCTCAAAGGACCTTACGACGACGTGAAGATCAACCCGGTCATCTACCACTTCGTCTTCTCCAACGAGAACAACGAGACCGAGTACATGCCGCTCCCCATCATAGACTCTGTGGAATGTAACAAACTCCTTGCCGCCAAGAACATCAACCTGCGCCTCTTTATATTCCAGATACAGAAGTAAGCATATAAGCTCACCTGGGAGAGTGACCGAGGGAGAGCGAGAGGGGGAGAGAGACAGAGAGAGAGGGGAGACAGAGCACGCACCACTCAACCAGAGTTACCTCGTACGGCTGCCTCGGCCCCCTCCCAATTCCACAATTATCCAATTATTTTAACAAAAAGCGGACATTTTTTGCATGTGGGGCAGGCGACCGTAGTCGCTGCCTTCTTTGACTCCCCCTGTTTGTGCCCCCCCCCTCCCCAAAAAGGCAACCGGGGAGTTAGCTTGATGCAGGGTACTGAGGAGGCCTGAAAAGGGGGAGGGGGGGTCTCAAGGGGATCTACCAGTCAATACATTGTGAAAAGGCCGCATCTGTCTCATGGTTGTGTGTGATCTCCATGATGGGGGGGTCCCTGTTGGGAGTGGGGTGGGGAGGAGCCCCCCCCGTCCTTCCATCCTGGGGGGGGGGTGACCTTCGACCTAAGTATTATGGAGCATCTGGAAATGCTGGGCAGGTCTTGTTGCATCGGGAGAATAAAAGGGTGCGTGGGGGGTGGGGATTCTGCAGTTGGGTAGCTTCAGGGACCCCTAGGAACGGGGGGGGAGAGAGGCGGTGTGTTGCCAGCCAGTCTCTTACTTGGAGTGCATGCCACAGGGCTGGGATGCCAGGCTCTGCCAAGCGGTGCTTCATGCTGAGGACAAGCAGAGCAACCAAATGTCCACGAATGTATCAGTCCAGGGGGTTCTCCCTGCTGGCCTCCCCCTCGCCCCCTCCCCGGCTTTTTTTCCACTGTGGCTGCGTTGGTGACTGTTTCCCATAATGCCAGGTTTCTGGGGAGGCCAACCAGAGAGCGAGCGAGCGAGCGAGGCCTCCTCCAGCAGCTGCTCCCTTCTGGCAAGAAGCAGCACCCTCCAAGTGGCTTCAATTGCACTTCACAAAAGCACCCAGGGGACCCCCTTTCTGGTGGGTTCCTGACGCTGTCCCCTTTTGTTTAGCTCCCCCACCCCCAGCCCAACGACCCCTCCCTGGGCAAAGAAGTGGCATCGAAGCGACCCAAATCAGTTCTTCTCGGAATGCAGGGTGATTTTTTTTGTCCGTTTTTTGGGGAACTTCCCCAGTATTTTGAACGACCCGTGTGCAAAATGAGGCTCTTCTAGTAATTATGCAATTTAACAGTGTGATTTTATGTATCTTTGAAGAAGAAGAGGAGATATATATATAGTTTATGGACGAGGATAGTGGGAGACATTCACCAGACTTCAGTGAGATCTACAGGGATATTTGCTTCTTGCTCTTAAAAGCCTAATTTAAGGTGGGAGCCGGTGGTGGATGGCCGTTTTAGTATGTATCATGAGAAATACGTTGATTGTGCTGTCAATCTTCTTTCTTTTCCTCCCAAACCCTTAACCTGGCATCCCCACCTCACCTTTTGTTTTGTTTTAAAGGAAGCTTGCGACCGCAGTTAACCCTTTGTATGAACTATTTGGATCAGGTATGTTTTTCAGACACGTGAGGCCCCCGCGGCTTTCCTCCCTGCAGCTGGTGAAGGATAACAACTTCCTCCTCCTCTCTCCTTCTACCTCCCTCCCGGCCATAATTCGATTTTAGAAAAGCCCACAACGGCCTTTGAATCCTGGGCAACTCATGGCCCTGCCCGCTGCTAGGCTGGCTTTTTGTGTTTGTCTCTTTGTTTGTTTTTATGCGAAAAGGGGCAGGCTGCCCCGCAGAATTCAGTTTGGTTGGTCCGAAACGCGGCCCCGGTGGGGCTTGTTTGATTTGGTTTGGCTGGAGACAAGTGTGAACCCAGTGACGATACGATAGAATAGGCCCGTTTCATGACTTCCGGACTTCAACTCCCAGAATTCCTCATTTGAAGTCCACAGGCTGTCAAGGGGGCATGGCTGCCACCCCCACCCCCTGTGAGAGAAAGTTGGTGAGGTCTTCACCAGAATGCCACCAGCTGCTGAGGAGCGAATAGACCACAGCTTGGCTTGCGGGGGAAATCCTTATTTTGCTGCTTGTTTTGAAATTTTGAAAAGTGGGTGAATAGCCCGACAGAGGGAAAATGGTCAGTTGCCAGGCATCATTCTTTCAGTTCTAGTTTGTGAAGAAGGCAGGAATTCCCAAAATTCTCCAGATCTGTTGGCCTCAGGCGGTGACGTTAAACCAGGAACCTCCTCTTGATCTCCGCGAAGTAAGCTGCAGGCGGTCTCCCTATGACTCCCCCCCCCCTCCCCGCCAAAGCTGGCACACCTGGGCTTCCCTCTTCCCTCTTGTGACGGGCACTTCTCGCCTGCCAGCGGTCTGCAGGGTCGGTCTTTGAAGAGTAGCGCACTTAAGTTGCCTCGATTGCAGGCCTGTGGCAGCTGCAATCCCCAAAACCTTTCTAGACATATTGGGAGCCCAGATGATGTTTGTGGGGCAAGGCCCCCCCCTGCACGCCTAGTTGTGAAGGGCAGGAGGCTGCAAACCCAGAAGAGATTCTTTGTCTGAGAAGCAGAGCCTCCCTTAATGTCCAAACTTGTTTTCATTCGTGTGTCTCTCTCACTTTTGGAGGCAGGGCAAGGAACAGCTGTCCAAAAGGCTCTTTCCACTGCAGCCCTTGAAACAAAAAGCCTATTTGACCCTTGGGGGGGTGTGTAAAAGAAAGTTCCAGAGCCTGCCTTCCATTCTGGGTCAACCTGACCTCGGGGGGGGAAAAGGCTTTTGCAGCCAGTCCGGGGGAGGAGGCTACAGGCCTCCATGCGGGAGAAGGATTCATTTAAGAGAAGAAGCTGGCTGTGTTTTCCCCCGGAACACAAGAATTCTCTCAAAAGTTTCCCGCGTGGGGGGGCAGAAGTTGATTCCACACAGCAGGCTGCCAAGCTCCCCACCGTTCTGCAAGGAGGCATCGCCCTGCCCGTCAGGTCTTACTGGGTTTTGCGCATCCCTTCTTCCCGTTGAGGAAGTACAGTGCGGAGGAGGAGGAAGAGGAGGAGGAAGAGGAAGAGGAAGCTGCCCCAAGGAAATGCTACAGGGATGCGGCCGTCTCCAAGGCCAGGCCCCGCTTTAGAAGAGTTGGACTTAAGTGCCAGGCCTTCCAGAGGGAAAAGGGAGGGGGGCTTTAAATTTAGAACAGTTATGGCAACTTTTTTAAGATTTGGGGACTTCAACTTCCAGAATTCTGGGAATTGTCATAATTGCTCTGGTTTAGAGCATGTTGAGAAGAAGGTGCATAGGTGATTTTTGGAGGCTACTGGGCTAAGCAATATTTCAACTTGCATTCTGAGGGTCATTTGGGGGAATCCGGCCTGCAATGGTTCCCCCCTCCCCGCTTTCCCATTTTTCTGAATGCATCATGGACTCTGAAAGCGTTTGGGCAGCCGATCTCTTTAGCGGTCCAGGCCCATGGATTTTAGATCACATCAGCCCTTTGGGAGTTTAGCCCACACGACACACCTTGCCCATTGCCATCTCCGCCGTCTCCCCAAACCTTGCTTGCAAGCAAGGGCTGCCGTATTTCTGACTTTAAAGACGCCCTGCAGTCCTTAGCAGGTTTTTGGCAGGGGGTTGGGGGGGTGGCGGTAGTTCTAATTATTTCGGTGCAGCTGGTTCCTGTTGATTTTGGGAAAAAAACCTAGCAGAGGATTCTTTTTGGCGTAGTTGGTCTACTGACAAAATCTGTTCCTTTTTTGCAGTGTCACCTCCAATGTACTTGTGTTGTTGTTTTGGGGGGTGGGTGCAGGGGGGCTACGGGTGACTCTTGTCCCTTGCAGCTTCTCCTTCTGTACAACGTTTTTTCTCAAGATCAGGGCTAGCTCAAGTCCTCCGCCTGACTCCCAGACCTGAAGAACTTTTGCTGGGTTCTAGATCAAGGCGGCTCAACCTTGGCGACTTTGAAGACTTGTGGACTTCAACTCCCAGAATTCCCCAGCCAGCAAAGCTGGCTGGGGAATTCTGGGAGTTGAAGTCCACAAGCCTTCAAAGTCGCCAAGGCTGAGCCGCCTTGATTAGGGTGTGAAGAACAAGCCACTTTGAAGGCAAAAATAGACACCTCGGAGGAACCAGAACTCAGAACCGTATCGGACGTTGTCGGAAGTGGGCACCCGGGGACTCACCCCCCTCCCCCCTCCGTCCAGCTAAAGACCATCACTGCCAACACCTTTGATTTTGTTTTTCTAACCTCCATTCTCATCGCTCTCTCTCCTTCCGCTGTCTCCCTTCTCTGGGACTCCGTCCGACTTCTGCTTCGGTAGCTGAGCCTTACCTGTCTAGTTTCGGCTAGATGTCGAAAAGATTGTAGCCTGCTTCTCTCTCCGCCAGGCCACAAATGGAAAAAACCCCTCCTGACAGTATTCACTGTGGGTAATTTATTTAACTAGTGAATGTAGCGTTTGAACTAATTTAAAACTAACGGCTTGTTTTGCAAGGCGGTCTGTCCTTCGTACTTGGCTCAGATTCCACGATTTGTGTTCCTGGTTTGGGGGGGGGCGTGCAGGAGGGGGGGCGACTTCGGGGTTCAGAACCCCCCCGCTAGGAGCTCCTACTTGGAGAAGGAGAGAGAGAGGTGGGAAGGGGGGGGGGTCACTCCAGGAATTTTTTTTCTATTGCAGGGCTGGCTGTCAGGACCACCTGCCACTTCCACTCCCCCAGAGAGAGAGAGTGAGTGGTAGCAACAGCCTTCACCCCCCCCCCAGCTTCTCCATCACTTCTCCCGCTTCCTTCCGTCTGCCATGTGTCCTCCCCCAAAAAGAAAAAATCCTTGTGAGCACTAAACCTCTATACCTAAATGGCTTTTTAAAATGAGGAATGGTTTTAATGTCGTTTGGGAATGAGTTCTTTTGTTCTTTTGTGGTCTGCGTTTCAAGTTTCTGTATGTAATGTAGTTAAAAAAAAAATTGCCAAACCACACTGTCTCCATGTGTGTGTGTGTGTGTGTGAGAGAGAGAGAGGGAGAGAGAAAGAGAAAGACTGGTCAAGATGGGTTGTAGCGAAGCTGGTGTGGGAACCATCTTCTCGGGAGGGGAAAAAAAAACCCTCGCCTTTTATAAAATAAAAATGTGGTCTTTGGGGCATGACAACTCCCCCTCCCTTCTACCACTGATGGTGTTACTTGGTTGGGTCATGAAGCGTCTGCAGGAAAATAACCAAGTTCAGAGCACCAAGGACCCC